TGGGACTGCGCAGGTACTGATACAGTAGTTATTGCAGTAGTCCGCAAACTATTCAGTTCCCCCAAATTGGTCCTGATGGTCTACAACATAAGTATGTTTGGATGCGATAAGATGCAAATGTCTTCTAAAACAAACAAAATAACAAACAAATGGAAAAGTGCTGTATAATTGCACAAAAACTACCAATTTTGTTGTGTTTTTTTTTTCATAATTAATGAATAAGGTTTGTGATGTTCAAGGTTCCTGCACAATACTAAGAGGCCAGATGCACTACCCTGTACTCTTATGATGCATGATGTCTGTGACAATTTGCAAACTTTGCAAATCAAATTATACAGATGCAGATCTTTGCATTGCGCGTCCTTCCATTTTCTCATTTGCATTTCTGCCATTGCTGCAATAATAGGCCACTTTGCAAACAGCTTTCACTGTAAACACAACAAACCTGCTGCACCAAGGTTTTTTTCTTTTTTTTTTTAAATGATTGTCATTGTTCTTTTAGGCTTACACAACATCAAGAAGATAAATATGGATCATCCAGCTTATGTGAAATTCAACAAGCAGCTTTTAAACGCCCATATGCTCCATAAAGAGCAACATCTCGATAAATGTAAATCTGTTCAGATCTGTTCATCTGTTCTGTCCAACAGATCCCTCAGAGGAGACGAGTGGTTCTGGATGTCTGGACAGTCCATGAATTTCTTGAATTGGCCACAGGATTTTGTTCCAGACTGTTACTCCAGCACCTGTGGGGGCATGACTAGCACAGAGCACCTCCTGTGGCAGGACCAGCCCTGTGAGGAGAGCCTCAACTTCATCTGCCAATCAGGTTTTACTTACACCACGTTAAGGCTTGTGTGCTTTTATTGTGTATTGCTTTAGTTGAACTTTTCCTCATGTTCTTTCAGGTGCTGACGATGGCGTGCAGAGAGTTTATTTCTCCAGCTTCCAAGGATCCAACAAGTCCATAGAAAAATCGATGACACTGTATAAACTGTGATGCATGATTTTTTTGTTAGAAATAGTTTTCATTTGAATTTGTTTTACACTCCTTTAAACCATTCTTAGAAAAATCCAGTAATCACATAAAACATTACGTTTTCTTTTTCATAAGTTACAGTCCTGAATAAATGATTTGTCTTTAAAATCTTTCCTGTCTAGTTTGTAGTAATGCTCATAGCAATCATAGCAATTGTATTTCTACAAAACACGTGAGGTTGTTCCTCTGCATTATATAAAGCAATAAATGACTATAATAATGTCTCTAAAGTTATGGCAAAGACTGTAATGATGAAATGTGGTAATAAAGTTTGGATTAAAACATCCATCCATCCATCCATCTTCATCCGCTTAATCCGGGGCCGGGTCGCGGAGGCAGCAGCCTAAGCAGAGAAGCCCAGACCTCCCTCTCCCCAGCCACACCACAATGTTGCGTGCGTGCATTTACTGGGCATTGCCTTAATTTAACTGTAACTCATAACCCTTTAGGTGCTCAGGACGGTGTGCAAAGAGTTTACTTCGACAGCACCACGATTGCCACACGTTCACAGTAAAGGTGAATATCATCATGTATGCTGAAATGTATATTTTTAAGGTAGAGATAGATTTAATTAGAAACTTTATTTCTTAATCTATCCTTTGCTGAGGCTCCATAAGAAATGTGTGCACGAAAGGGAATTTGACTTTAAAAACATGACTAAAGCTGTTAATGCAGTACTTCTGTTAGAACCCCTGAATGTGAGCTGACAGACATCAACTCTGGTACATCTTGATTGTCTGATTTAAAGTGCAGAGGCAGACTTACAGGAATTGTCTCATTGTGTAAGCATTTATGGACACAAATGTGTTGGAAGCTAAACTTTGTTCTGTATTATGTCAAGACCAAAGCAATGAAATGCAGATCACGCTTCAACAATTCAGAACTGATGTACAAATTCATCAAAGCAATAAAAATCTCATTAAACCAGCAGACACGTTTGCGTATTTTAATATTGACCTTGAGGAAAAAATATTGAGACTCTTAATATGCTAAAATATTAAAATAGCACACATGTAGGACACACGCTTTCTCTTGTGAGTGCTTGGTTTAATACTCATATTCATACTCATTAAGGGAACATCTGGGTAAATAAATCAGTGACTTCCACTTGCTCACATTAGAATATTTTCTATAACAGTTTTAGTGCTTTAAATGAAGTCATGGGAAGTTTTGTCTTTGTACTGTGAATATGTTCAGCGTTACAAGCCTCAAAGTAAAAAGGGGCAAGCCAAAGCTTTGTTTTTTGTTTTTTTAAATCAAAGTATTTTCTTGCCTGTTTGAGCGTCAGAATTTTATATGAACAGGAGCAAGACACGTTAAATTTTCAGGGTTGGAAAACATATTTAAATTCTAAGTAAAGCAGTTTTTCACAATCTAAACCTGCAACCTTGTTTTTTCCCAGCACAATATTTTTTTCTGCAGCCAACTGTGAGAACAGCATTATGGGACATATCGATGTTTAAAAGCAAAATATCCATTCTGCAGAGAAACAGCAATGAGCTGTGGTACCCTGGATGATTGATCTGTTTTCTGATGACTGGTTCTTGTGTGACGCGTTGACTTGGGAATGAAATGACCCAGTTCTAAAAGGACACAATTACACAAAGGGAACATTGTGATTGTAGATCAACAGGGCACGTGTTTCTGTTACATTTCTTTAGGTGTGGTACAATCCTGTAGTTTCAGGGAGCGTGCAACTCCCATATCTGAGTAATGTGTTAACTGAAGCACGTTGACAAGTTCTAATATAAACCAAGTAAGGACAGATACACCCAAAAAATTAGGACAGGTTGAATCAGTGTAAAGTTGAGTTATGACTCACCTGGTCTAACTTGTCCTTCTTGTCTCGTGTCTGTGTCTGGTGCAGGCTGAGTCACTCGTTTGAAACTATACTTGTGTATCAAACTGTGCATTGTTTTATTTCTGCTGTTAAATTAATTCTTATTTAATGTCTAAACTGTTTATATAGAGCAATAATATGGCAGAAGAGTCCCATAGAAGAGTCTATGGGAGGATAGATTCTGGCCAGTGATGATCCAGCCCTGTGCTGATCCTGCCAGCATCTCTGGCGCTGATGCAGCCAGAGATGTTTTTAATGTTTTTAAGTTTGGGTTTTTTTTGTGTCTGTGTCTGGGGGGAGGGTTCACAGCTAGTTTTAATAACCCCGCTCCTTGGCATCGTCCATTCTTTGTATTATAATAATTGTAAGCACATGGGGGCGCTGTTGTAGTGTTTCAGATCAAAGCGTTTCTCCTCACTCGGTTTTAAACATCAAAACTTAAAGTTAAATTTAGCAGCTGCAAAGCCACTATTGCGGTGCTATTTTCAGTGAAATGAACCAATAAAAATATAAGAAACTGTGAGTCATCTCAAAACTAAAAAGTGATCCAAAACTTTAGGCAAGGCTGACTTTTGATTTACCCCATTCTGACTGAATATACTTACAAAACGTTACAGTAAAACTCTTTAATTAATGTTAGCATGATTTATAGGCTTATAAATCATTATCTTATTTTTCTCCTACAGGTCTGTTACATGGCATACAACATGAATCATGTCTGTAATGCACCGAACATGTGCAGGCATTGCTGCAGTTAATATTTAAGGGAGTATTCACAACAATTTTCTGTTAGCGCATCTGCCACTGAGGTTAAAGAACCTAACAGCACTTGGGGGAAAGTTTGTGAGGAGACTGTGGTGTTTTTGTTAGGTGAGAAGGGGGGAGGGGGGCTGTTGGGCAGAGGAGGGAAAATGTTCAGCTCAGACGTTTCCAGGCTAAGAAATCCAGCAGGAGAGTGTGGAAGAGAGGAGCGCTGATATCTTACTAAATAAATAAAGGATTTGCAGCTTGATTAGATGTAGGTCAAGAAAGTTTTGTGGAGATTGTGTAGAGGCAGCAAATCCAGGAAAGGAGAGGAAGATTTTGTAGGAATTCCTGACTGACGTCATTGTAAGTAATGGTTTTCTCATAGCTGATAGGAGCAGCGCTCACTGCGGTCTTCTGCTGCTGTAGTCAATCTGCTTCGAAGTTTTGACATGTTAGTGGTTCAGAGATGCTCTTCTGGATACATTTGTTATAAAACCAAACCCAAAAATATGGTTATTTGAGTTCCTGTTGCCTTCCTGTCAGCTCAAAGTAGCACATCAACCAGGCATTCTCATTAAAAAACTGATGTTCACTGGATATTTGATCTTTTTCCGACTATTCTCTGTCAACCTTTGAGATTTTTCTGTGGAAAATCAGTAGATCAGCAGTTTCTGTAGTATTCGGGCTAGGTAATCTGACAAGAGCAATCATTCCATGTCTCATCAGTCCACAGAACTTTATCCAAAATCCACGCG